AAATCCCTTGGCTTCCTGGGTGACAGGAGCATTTCTTATTCCCACAAGGCGACTCTGGATAGGCATCTGGATAGCTTCAGGGTGGTGACTTAACACCAGAAAGATCAAGCCATGATCAGAAGCTGAGAACTTTCAGCCCAACCCCCCATCTTCCAGGGACAGGAGAAGAGCTGGAGATATTGAGTTAATAATCGATCATGCCTACATGAGAAAGCCTCCACAAAAATCCTTAAATGACAGTTTTGCATTGGTGAACATACTGGGAGGGTGACACTCCCCACTCTCAGAGACAGAAACTCCTTCACTCTGGGACCCTTCCAGACCTTGCCCTATGTACTTCTTCATCTATATCTTTCATCATATCCTGTATAATAAACCTGTAAAATTAAGTAAATGTTTCCCCGAGTTTTGTGAGCCAACCCAGCAAATTATCAAATGTCCCCAGAGACTGTGGGAACACTCAACTTTGTAGCTAAGTTCGTCAGAAGTGTGGATGCCCTGGAGACCCACTGCTTGTGACTGGTGTTTGAAGTGAGGGCAGTCTCTTGAGACTGAACCCTAAACCTGTGGAGTCTGATGCTAATTCCCTAGTGTCAGAAATGAATTAAATTCTAGGACACGCAGTTGCTGTCTGCAGAGTTGGAAAATTGGTTAGCGTGGGAAAAAAAAAAACCCACACATTTGGTGTCAGAAGCATTGTAAGCAGAGAAACCATTTTTTTACCCAGAGACCAACCCGTGGGAACTTTTCCTCAGAAAGGTTTTATTGGCAATTGCTACAATGGAAAACAGAAGGGGTAACAGAAATAACAACCCCAGGATTATGACAATGCTTTGAGAAATTTTATAAAAACCTTAAAGTTGCTGAATTCTAGCTTAGACATCAATCAACCCAAACCCTTCCTTGTCCCTTTCAGGCCTCCAACTAGCCCATGGTGTCAAAGTGGGTTCTTCTGGCTAACTCCTTCTTCCACCAGAACCTTCTATCAAGTGCTGAAGCTTCATCCAAGCTCCCACTCCACACCCCTCGCCCTGGGCCTCTAGGTTTCCAATCAGTCATTCATCCCATGGCCTTGCCCTGCAGGAAAGGCATGAAAGGAACCCCATTCATCTCTGAACACCAGACTGAAACCAAATAATCATCTGCCAAAGTGTAAAACGTAACTGTGTCTAGAAACCCAGACCACTAAAGCTGGAAGCACCTTAAGGATTTAAATCTACCTTTCCCACTTTGCAGATAGAAAATGGGGTCCCAGAAGAGGATTTTAGATCTAAGACCAACGCAAGTTTCTGGACTCCTAGTTGGATGTTCATTAAAATGGGTCACACCAGTCCCCCGCCTGTATATTTAACATTGTCAGACCAAAACCAAATAAGGAAGAGAGAAATAGTCTTCAAACACAATGGAACTTTCCCTCAGGAGACTTAGTAGGGCCCTCAGGGGTCTGGGAAACCCCACATGAGGGACCCTCCGGCCTTCCTTTGTGCCTTGCTCCCCTCACCACAGTCCTGCCTCACAAGCCTTCTCTCAGACCCTCCTGCACACCTGGTCCTTCCAGTCACCAAGTCCCAGCATGCTGCTCGTCTGCTGAAAGGCTCCCATCCTCTTCTCAAAAGGGTTGTGCGTTTCAATATTTGCATTATTATTGCAATATTATTGCAATAATATAATATATTTGCATATATATAATATAATTGCATATATATGCATATATATGCATATATATGCAATTATATAATTGTATAATATAATATGCAATATTATTGCAATATTGCAATATTATTAATATTATTAATATTTGAGGGCCCAAGTTTGGCATGTATACTAAGTGAGGGTCTATTTAGTAGAGACAGACTCTGAATGCTGTCTGACACTTAGATGCTAATCACAGAATGCCCCTAAACCCCATCCTCTGCCAGGCTTTCCCTGGGCACTCTACCCCACACACCACACACACCCAGATGCAAGTTCTCTTTCTTAGCATCAGTTCATCTCTTCTTTGCACCTACCTCATCTGTCATTATTCTGGATCTTTGCTTCCCAACTGTTCACTCTGCCTCCCCAGCTAGCCTGGGGGCTGCACAGGACAGAGACTGTGCCTGTCCTAGTCACTGTTGTGACTATCATAGCCCCTATTCCCATGGCTGGTGCATCGTGTGTGTTCACAGCAGATACAGGGGGATCTATGCATGGATAAGATGAAATCACAGAAGCAGGACACAGATTTTAAATACTTACAACTTTATTAGGAGCAGGCTGTTGTCCCTGCAGCAGCCAGCTCCCATGTATACACAGTATACACAGCCTAGCCAGTACCCAGGTCCTTCCATCCTTCTGCAGCACGTGGAATGCAAAAGAACCAAACACAAAGGGGGCTCTGTAAGTGACAGTGTCTAGTGCCTTTGGGAGCCAACTCCCGGGCTGGGAACAACCAAGCCCCCCAGCTCACCCAGCCCTCTACTCCAGCACAGCAAGGTTCACAAGGTTGGACTCCTCTAGTCAGTGCACACAAAGGGCAGAGGAGGCAGGGGGCTCCAGAGCCCAGATCCTTACAGGTTCACACCCCATGGAAGAAGTTTCTGGAGCCCACAGAATCTCCCTCCTCTTCCACAGACATGAGATACCACCTTAATTTTTTTTTTTTTTATCCCATCACCAGAAACCTATACCTTGAGGCTTGTCTCTGCTCAGCCTTGGAGAGCATGGTTGGATTAGCAAAATGGTCAAGGATAAGACAAACCTCCCAAGTTGTCTTGGTCATACTTATTTTAAAAAGAAAAAAAAAAGGAAGAAGAAAGACATCACAACAGAAAAAAGCACTGAGACCCAGCTTGTGTCAGGAACAAGATAGGTTGTCCCTCCTTGAAATAATTTGTAAAGCTGCTCTGCTAGGGGGCCAGTCACCCCCACTGATGGCAGCTCCCTTCCCTCCCACCCCATTCCCCTGCCCATTCTGCACAGCCCCTGTGCCACCACCTCCTCACCAAGGATGGGTGCACCAAGCACAGGGTGCAGTGCTATCGTCGGCTAGTGGGGGTCCACATCTGCCCTAGAGCCCTGGGTTCCCTTTGATGCTGCAGCCCCACAGTGTTCACCCATGCAGGGGGGAAGATTCCTCCTCACTTCAGTCTTCAGAAGTGACTGCAGCCCTGCCTCAGAAATCCACATGCCCTCGGCCCCTCTGGGGGAGCGCTGTTCGAGGGCTCAGCCTGGGGTTAGGCTGGAATTTGGAAAACCATCCCAGAGGCTTGCCTGGATGGCTGGTTTGTGGGTTCTGGCTATTAGGGGATGCCAAATAAAAGGAATGAACCCCTTTCCCAGGGAAGATACTTGCTCTGATGTCACCTTGCTAAAGTCCAGTATATATTACCTGACTCAGAAGCAGAATCTCCCATGTACATGCTAGAGCAGCTGCACCTTCAAGAAATACCCTGCTTAACCAAAGACTGCTAACTCCAAAACATCTTCCCATGTGGAGCTATAGGAAACACCCTGGTATCTATATCCCCAACATGTTTCCAGGATAGACAAGAGTTCCCATTGTGGCTGCCAAGGGCTTCTGGGTCAGATTATTGATTCTTGGTGTCACCTGAAACCTGTCCCCAAGGCACTTGAGGAGAGAGATCCTGTCTTCATATTTGGAACACCAGTGGGTGGTTGGCTGGGCTATGAGGAGCAGGACACAATGCACCACACAATCATCTTTGTGTCTGGGCAGCTCAGTCTATGGAGGACAACAGCCAGGTCTGCTGGAAGCACCAGGGTCACCACTGTCCCTGGGGAGGGACAAATGTTGGTTCCCAGAGAGCATAGCCTGAGGTAGCAAACAGTGAACCCCACTATCCAACTGCAATGTCATGTGATGTGCCCAAAGCCAGACCATATGTAGCTGGCCAGATGAAAACCAACCTGCAGGCATGTGGATGTTCAGCACCTAGCCCTCTGTGCATTTCCCACGCCCTTCTTAGTGGGGACAAGACCATGGCCACTCTGAAGGTTCTCTGAGGCAACACAGAGCTAAGGTAGCAGCCCTATTTATACCTGCCTCTCTAGAGGAAGAAGCCATCTGAACTGGGGCCTCCTCCTCCCCATCCCAGGGTGTTGTGCGCCATAAGTTCAAGCCCAGCCACCAGTGATACAGAACCCCCTACGTCACTCTTCAAACTCCGTGCTTTACCACAGAATCCATCATCCCTTGTATCTTATTTTAATGGTCAGATCCCTCTTGAAGAAGGCAGTAGGCTCCCTATTGGCTTCCTATATCTATATGCAATGTGTCAGAGGGCATGTACTTGGAAGCCCTCCCACCAGCCTGATGTCATAGACAACACAGTGAGAAGAGGTGGGTGGCTCTTGAGGGAGGGCCAGGAGTAGAAAACCGATGAGAAACCTCCAGACTCCCCCTACACATATACCTCTTCCCAAAAGGGGTGGTCCAGGCTCCAGTTATACCTAATCCCACTCTCCCACCAGTTTTTGCCCACCGCAGCCATTTTTCATTATTCAGTCCTTGTCAGTCAGAAAGAAAAGGTGGGCTGACAGCACCATAAAAACCTGCCTGTTCAGAAACGGCTTAGAGCCCCCCGGGGCCACCTGAGGGTGCCAAGCTGCTGGGCCATGGCTCTTCCAGCAGCCTGTGGCCTCCCTGATGGGGGCCAAGGTCCCTGAAGTTCTTCCTGGGAGGTGCCCATCCTCCAGGTCCCTTGGAAACTGGGCCCCGGCGCCTCTACCCAGTGCCCGCACCTCTCAGCCTCTCCCAGAGACTGGGCCCTGGAGGAGCCCGGCGTGAGGTAGACTGTGCATTAGTCACTTGGCTTCCCCCACCGAGGCCAGGGAGGAGGAGGGGACCTCTCACCCCTGTCCCTGGTCCTTGTCCCTGGAAGTGGGTGACGTCATGGCATGGACCCCCAGCCACTGCCCTCTGCCCACGGCTCCAGCTGGTCAGAACACTGGCAGCACCAATTGGGCAGAGAGTAAGAAGGAGAAAAGGACAGTCCTATTCAGCATGGCCTCAAGATACAGAAGTCCAGCTCCTGGGGCTTCCGGCGCAGGTTGCACTGGTCCCGAGCCAGCAGCCGCCCTCCAGGGCCCAAACACTTGAGTGGACGCCTCTTAAATCCCCGGCCGCAGCTCTTGGAGCAAGGCGACCAGGCACCCAGCTCCCAGGTCGGGCAGGGCTCCCCACAGACTCTCGTTTCCACCGGCCGATAGGCTGCATCACAGGCAGACGCCACATGCAGCCCTGGGGGACCACGACAGTCGACCGCCCGCTTCTGCAGGCCACTGCCACAGCTTGCAGAGCAAGGCCCCCAGCTGCCTGCCACCCAGCGTGCAGGGGGCCTGTCGCCCTGCTGCTCCACCTGATTGGAGAGGCTGAGGACACTGTTGTGGAGCACAGAGGGGCCCCGGGGGTCCTTGGGGTGAGAGGCCTTGTCTTCCCGAGGCTCCTTGGGCAGATAGAAGGAGTAGCGGACCCGGGGTGGCGTCATCTTGCCCACAGAGAGGACCTCCACGGTCAGGGGCTCCAGGATGGGCCGGGAGGCCTGCAGGCTCTCCACCGCAGTCCCCGTGCCACTATAGCGCAGTAGGCTGCCCTTCACCACCAGGTCCCGCTCCACGGCCGACACCACGAAGTGCCCATTGAGCAGGTACTTTCCCTGGCTATTCTTCAGGGCCAGGTAGTTGTCATCTCCAATCAGCCCCTTGTAGCCACGCTGGCGGATGTCGATACTCGAGGCACCCGCAGGGATGGCCACCACAAAATTGTAGCCATGCCTGTGGTGAGAAAGGGGATCATACATTAGACACCTGCCTGGACATAATGCCCTCATCCCCCTCTGAAATCATAGCTGATGCCCCTTTCACAACCCCTGCAGGAGGTCACCAAGATAGCAGAGACTGCTCAACCACAGCACGGAAGGTCAGGGGGGGCACACAAACTGGAAGGCAGTACCTCAGATTGTCACCACATCATCTGAAGCTACATACACTGGCTGTACCACCCTGTGGCCTTTTTTATTCAGGATATTTATACTGTGGTGAATTCTTTTATTTTAAATTTTTTTCATATGTCTTTATTTTGGGGGCAAAAAGAGAGAGAATCCCAAGCAGGCTCCAAACTGTCAGCACAAAGCCCAACGTGGGGCTCAATCTCACAAACCATGAGAGATCATGACCTGAGCTGAGATCAAGAGTCGGATGCTTCCCCGACTGAGCCACCCAGACACCCCTACATGGTGATGAATTCTAGGGCAGGAGTAAAGCACAGGTTTTGGAGCCAGACCCATCCCTATCACTGGCTTAGCTGTTGGCCTGGGATAAGTCACTTAGCTTGTCAGTTGTCTCATCTGTGAAATGGAGATCATAATCACACATACCTCATTAAAGCACCTAGAGCCTATGGCACAGTGCCTACCATCCAGTAAGCACTCAATATATACTAACTGTGAGAAGGAGGAGGAGGTGGAGGAGGAACAGAAGACAAGGCTTCAGTCCCTGAGCCCAAGGCTGGGGCTAGACGTAATGAGACACACTGGCCCTGGAGTCGGGCACCCAGATGAAGCCCTGGCTTGGACACCACCTCCTTGGTGGCTCAGACAAATCAGTCTCTCTGGGTTCCAGGGTCCTCACCCATACAGTGAGGGGGTCAAACTAGATGATATCTAAGGCTCCTTCCAGCTCCACTAGTCCATGAAAGGAGTGCCTGCCATTTAGCCAGTGAAGCAAGTCTGGGGGTGTTTACCTTTAATTCTCCACTTGGTCACCCCCTGCAGATCCCTGTGAACACCACCCACCTGCAGTGCCACCTGTTCCTAGAAAACTTGCCCACCTACAGGCCCAGCAGAGGGCACTGTGTCCAGAAGAGGCAGCTGAGGCTCCTGGACAGCCATCTAGGCCTTTCTAGCACCTGGCCTCCCAAGTTTTCAGAGCCAACCATAGCCTTGCTCAACTGAGACCTCAGGGACTCTGCTTGCTCCAGCTCCTTCCAGAACCTGAGGCAGGACTTTCCAAAGGAGCACATTCCCCCTGAAAATAAAAGGGAACCTGCTGGACTTCAGAAAGCCGGGCTCTGGAGGTGGGAATAGAAGAGGCTTAGAGACATTTCTTCAGCTGACCCTGTACATATCTCCCAGGAAGAGGGAATCGATCAGTCCTAGCCACTCACTTTGCCATTTATTGCCATTCTCACCTCAATCTCATCCCTGAGGCCAGGGCCTCAGGCTCCAGGAGATGGGCAGGCTGTCACATTTTGTCCCCAGGCATGTTTTGTGTTTTGTGATCATCATCATGAACATTTGGTGAGCATTTATTATGCACCAAGTACTACACTGAGCATTTTACTTAGAGTAACACCCTTAATCTTCACAATAGCACAATAGGAAATATATTCATGTCAGGCCCACTATACAAGTGAGGAAATCCAGAATTCCAGAGATGTTGTCACATGTTCAAGATCATCCAGAAAATGGGTAACTGAGATCTGAACACTGGCCAGTCTTACTCTAGAACTCCAGATAGACTCTAATGTTTCTCTGCCATCTCCCTAAATATCATCTCCTTTTCAGTGTTGGACTCCTTAAGCATTCATCTCTGTCAATTGCCTGGCTGGCTGGCTGAATATCATACTCCCAGAAGAGTCTGAGTGGCCCCGACACCAAGGGCACAGCCCATTTACCCCAGTCTAACCCAAGTTTCCACCACCTGGGGGCAGCGCCACTCAGCCCTCCTCCCCCTGCTCCAGGACCCGGAACTCACATGGGCTTGGTGAAGAGGCCTGTCACCTTCTTACAGCTCTTATTGTCGCCCCCACACACCCCACACTTGTCGAATTTCTTCTTGGAGCCCAGGTTCCCATCACAGCCAGCCTTGATGCACTTGCCTTGGACACAGACCGAGGTGGAGTCAGGAGTACATGGTGTACCATCCACCACCTGCAGTGCCCCCAGGAAAGGGAGAAAAGGAAAGAAGGGCAGTTCAGCCAGATGCATCCCAAAGACTTTGTCTCTGCTTTGGTCTCCTGCCCCATGCTCACTCACCTTGGGTGCCAACACATAGAAGTAGCCGGTGCCATTGGCTCGGCAGATGAGCTTGCACTTGTCCCGGGGAGAAACACCTGAGTACTTGGGCACCCATGCCACGGCAAGAGTGAGCCGGTTGGTGCTATGGTTGTAGCCATTGAAAGCCTCACACTGCTCCTCCCGGAAGCTCTTGCCGGAAGCTGAGGAGGGAGGAAGCACAGGCAGGAAGCTAAAGGGAGGAGTGATGGGGGAGAGAGAGCCCTCCTCCCCAGGGTGCTCAGCGCCTGTGGCCTTCAACACCTCTTACCCTCATCTGAGTTATCCTCATCCCTTCTCAAAGAACTAAAGCAGGCTAGGACCAAAGGATGCAGGTCACAGCCAATCACACAACCCCCAAGCAATGGGCCGCCTTCAATTCCCTCCATAACAGACACCCTAAACAGTTTGGGGCTACACAATCCTTCAGGAGTCTTCTGAAACTATTTTCAGAATGTTATGACATGAATAATAATACTAACTATACTGATATACAACTATCAATATATATCAAAACATATTTGTGATATGTGTGCTCCTTGTTAGCCCAATACATAACAAGATTCAATAATGAGTCTAATGGGGCGCCTGGGTGGCGCAGTCGGTTAAGCGTCCGACTTCAGCCAGGTCACAATCTCGCGGTCCGTGAGTTCGAGCCCCGCGTCGGGCTCTGGGCTGATGGCTCAGAGCCTGGAGCCTGTTTCCGATTCTGTGTCTCCCTCTCTCTCTGCCCCTCCCCTGTTCATGCTCTGTCTCTCTCTGTCCCAAAAAATAAAAAATAAACGTTGAAAAAAAAAATTAAAAAAAAAATAATAATGAGTCTAATAACCACCGTCATTTTCAAGTAGTGATGAGAAGAAATGGCATTCTGAGAAATGGCAATAACTGAAATGTCATATGAACATATCCAAGATCTCTACTGCGGACAAAGTCGAGGGTAGTGCCACTAGCATTGCAGTTTGCTAATTAAAAGAAATAATAATTTTAGATAGAAAGATTAGTAAAAACTATACTAAACTACTCACTGAAGGGAATGATAAATTTTAAATTTAAAAAGGCTAGTAAAAATAGAGATGTAATTTTCTCCCCTCCAAGCTCATGGACCCTGGATAAAGAGTCCCTGCTTATGAGTGATGGGCTTGCGAGACTTAATTAACTAAGAGGACATCTAGTGTGTCACTCTCTTGGGCCACTTAGCCCCCCAGCCTAAGTAGGGGGAAGAAAACACCCCCGCCCAAGGGGAGTGGGGAAGAAATGATCCCAAGAGGAATCTGCTCCTCTGCACTTCCAGACTTTGTCCTAGGGGATAGAATCTTGACTGCTGTCAATCTGCAGCCATGAAGTATCCAGAGTGTGGAGGATGAGGGAGGGGTGCCCTCCAGCCTCGATGTCCCCGGGCACAGGCCAACACTGCCCTCCCCTCCTCACCTGAGCTGGGGCAGGGCTCCAGATTGCAGGATCGGTATTTCACCCTCACCCCCTCGCAGTATTTGCCCCCATTGGCAGGGGTGGGGTTGCTGCACTGCCTCCGGGCCAGCTGCACGCCCCCACCGCAGGTGCGTGAGCAGGGACCGTAGGGCTCCCATTTGGCCCAGGAACCGTCCACCTATGAGAAAGAGTCCGTCATACTCCTGCAGCGGCCGGATGCACACTGGGAGCCTGCAGAACAGCTACACGGGTACAGCCCCCACCATTCCATCCCGTCCCACTGGAATGAAGTCCACTGTGGATCATAAGGGGAAAATGACAAGCAAATGGTCAGGGTCCACACAGCGCCCACAGAACACTTCAACCTGGTCAGTAGCAAATGCCTTCTGCACCCAGTTATAAATGAGGCCACTCAGAAGACAAACCCCTTTGGGCTATGGGGTCAGATAGCCAAGTTCTGTCATCATCTCTGCCCTCACCACATGGGTGGTCTTGAGCAAGGGGTGAAACTTCCTTAAATTTAAGGTGCTTCATTAGCAAAAATGGGACCAGTAATACTCAGGTGTGAGATCAGACAGATTTAAATGATACATTGTGTGTGAAAATTCCTAGCACTGTGTTTGCCACCGAGCAAGATGGGTTTCTCCTTACCTACTCTTAGCGTATTGAAAAGAGTCTCTAAATCTAAGGCAGGGGCGGGCCCCCAGTCTTGCCAGAAAACCTTGCTGCCATAGATACTTGAATATTTTTATTTATAAATGATCCATAATCCAGACTCCTCTCCAAACCAGACTTAAGCAGATCTTAAGCTCAATCGGGCTGAAATTGAGAAAGTTTCACTGCAAGAGGTTCTAACATTTGTGCTCAGAGGAAATGAAGATAGGAGACTACAAAGCAATCCCAAAACTTTGTTTGGCTTCAGGGTGAACCATGCAGTGTTGTTTCATTTTTCAAGAGGGTGGAGAGGGGAGAGAAACGGTATAGTCTTCATTATTGTTTTTCTTAGGATGCCAGTAAAGTGAGTTTTCATCCCCTGAACACACATCAGTTGGGCAACAAAGGAAGCGGCCTAGTTGTACAAGCCTGGGATTAAAATGCTCTCATACATCATCCAAAGTGACTAACCCGCATGGAGCTAATCAGGAACTGGCTGCATGTAATCTAAATACTTTAACTTAGGCATACATGCAGCATAGTTATTCTATCTGCCCTTCTGTCTGATAGCTTTTGCTTCACTGAGTCAACATGTCTCTCATCCAGTGAAAGAATTACTTGCTGTTAGCCCCACCTCCTCCTGCAACTAGCACCCCACCTCCTCCTGGCCTTTCACTTGCTAAGAGTCTCTACATTCGCTCCTTCCACCTCCTCCCTCCTCGGTGCCTTGTAATATGGGTTTTGTCCCCATCACACCTGGGAAGCTGCTCTCTCAAAGGCCTGACATGACCACTAATAAACTGAAGAGTCTGTGTATACACCTCATTTTCTCCAGTTTTCCTTCAGTACTTAACACTGTCTCTGCAGCTTCTGAGATGATGCTGTTGTGTCATTGTTGTTTTTAAACTTGCATCACTTTTTCCACCCTGTTCCTACAGAAAACATTCATCTCACAGGAAACACTCCTGCCATGTGCCATTCATTCACCAAATACCTATTGAGTTCTTACTCCATGTCAACGCTGTGTGCATCAAATCCCTGCCCTGAAAATGACTGCATCTCAGCAGGGGAAGATAGACAATAAAAATAGGCCTGGGCATATAGTGTCAGAAGCGGTTAAATGCAGGCACTGGGGAGAGAGCGGTGGAGAAGGCCTTGGTGAGGTGGGCTGCTCTCCATTACAGGGGGTCATGGAAACTTCACTGCAGAGGTGACGGTGGTGCAGATGCCTGAAGGAAGTACAGGAGGGAGTTGTGCAGATAGGAGGGAAAGAGCATTCTAGGCAGAGGGAGCAATGCAAAGACCCTAAGGAGGGACGGGCCTGGAGTGCCCCAGCATCACATGAGCAAGAGAAACAGGAGATGAAGGCAGATAGAGGACTCACTTGTCCAGAGCACACAGAGTAAAGTCCCTGAAGGGTTCTGAGCATGTGGCATGACCTGACTTACATTTTAAAGGATCCCTCTGGCCGCTATGTTGGGAACAGTCTGTGAGGTGTAAGACCAGCAGCAAGGAGATCAGCTAGGGTGCCAAGAGCAAGAATCCAAGGGGGAGTTGACAGTAGCTTGGCACAGGGTGGAAGCAGATAAGGTGGGAAAAATAGTTCAATTCTGCATCTATTTTGAAGATAGAATCAACAGGAATTGCTGAAATAGTAGATGGGCGAGTGTGAGAGAACAGAGGGTTGGCATGAGCAACGGGAAGATGGAGTTGCCAAAGCAAGTTCAGGACAGATGATCAGGAGCTTGGTTTTACAGATGTTATGTTTAGGATGCTTATCTGAATGGAGAAATCAAGATTCAGTGAGGCATGTGAGTCTGTAGTTCAGGACAGAGGTCTGAGCTGGAGATACACATCTGGGAGTCTTCAATGTATCAGTGTAAATGGTACTTAAAGCCATTGGCCTAAATGAATCACCTAAGAAGTCAGTGTGGATAGTGAGGAGAGCTAAGGACTGAAAGCTGGAATGCCAACATGGAAAAACAAGAATATGAGGAAGAGCCAGTGAAGGGGACCAGAAGGGGCAGCCAGTAGGGAGAAGGGAAACCAAGACCCGAGCCTGTGTTCCCAGGGGAGAGAGTGATCAGCTGTGTCAAATGTTGCTAACAGGTCAGACAATATGAGGATGGTAATCAATCACTGCCTTAAGCAGTGTAGAGGCCATTTGGCGACCTTAGTTAGAGTTATTTTTAGAGGAATAGTGGGACTGAAAGCCAGATTGGAATGGACTCCAGAGAAAAATGGCAAGACAGGAACTGGAGAGAGAAATTTCATACCACTCTTTCCAGGAACTTTGTGGTAAAGGGAGTCAGAGAGATAGATTTTGATTTATGGAGAGGAAGTAGGATCAGGAGAAGTTTTATTTAAGATGGGAGGAATTATAGCAAGTTTGTATCCTGATAGAAATGATTCAACTCAAGAGAGGGGAAATCTGACACTGCAGGAGAGAGATGGAAGAATTTATGGAGCATTTTCCTTGAATAGAGGGGATACTATCCTAAGCACAAAGCACTGCACCGCCAGGCCCCATATGAGAATGTGGGCAGCTCATCCATAGCAAAGGAGGAAAGGTAGAGATTACAAGCACAGAAGCAGGACAGACAGTGGATGTGGTGGTGGGAGTTGGTGGAAGTTCTCTTCTGATTACTTGATTGCTTGTTTTTTTATTAATGAGATGGGAAGAAAGGCTACTGGCAAAAGTGGAAATGAAGAGAAAGGGTTGGTAATGGCAGAGAGAGGCGAAGGTGTGACATAATCGTGTAGGATGTTGGGAGGACGAATGCAGTAAAGGAAATAAAATACCATATGACTCCTGAGCAGCATTGCAGGCCCCCCTAAGTTGTCAGGCCATTAGTTTAAGCTGAACCCACTGAGCATGGTTCCATGTCTTTCTCCAGCCGCACTCACCTCCACCTGCACAGTTGAGTGACAGTTGGATTCCACCAGGACAGTGGTTTATCCTAGCGAGTACGACAGAGAGAGGCAGGGGCATGGGAGCCACGAGTGGACATGAAGGAGTGATTTTAACAATGGACCACGGAATTGCAGCTCAAGAAGGAGGTTGGTGAGGGCACAGGAAGAGCAGGTGGGACTGAAGAATTGCTGGAGTCCAAAACTAGAGGGCTGGACAACAGGGCCTTGGTAGTCAGAGTGTGATTCTTGCAAATGAGATCCCAGGGCAGCACTGGGGCTGTGTGATCAGTAAGATAAGCTTTGTGCTTTGACCTCAGCTGATTAGGGCAGTGTCCTTTGTGAAGGGCCAGGGTGGTGAAGGGAATGTCCAGAAAAGAGACTGAGGATATGGTGGATGTTGCTGTTGATGGACTGAGAATTCCAGAAAGCATGTGGAAATACTGTCTTCTCAGATCACATTTCCTATATCCAGTATCCTCTTGGGCAACATCTTTATCCTCCAGACTCCTCTTCCCAAGAGAAGGAGCTGGCCATGGCTGGCCTGTCCTCGGGACCTTCTGGTGGTCAAGGCAACCCCAGACTAGCCCCAAACCACACCCCCAAAGATGTTTCCCATATAGCTCTGGCCTGTCCACCCCTCCAGCTTGCCCCACCTCCCTGACTTTGCTCCATCTCTGCCTGTTGAGACCCTACTCATTCCTCAAGTCCCTCTCCAAATCCAACCTCCTTGCCAAAGTTTTTTCAGACCCCCCCCCCAGTCATCATTAATCTCTCATTCCTTATTCCCCCATGACACGTTTTCACACTTCTATCTTAACACTGAATACATGCCTCTCTGGGTCTTGGATTACAGTGACATTTCTAGCTTCGCCACTAGACTGTGAGCCCACTGAGACACAACCCATGTTTTATTTCTTTCACTGACCACCACACAGTACCTCACATAGTTCTCTGAATACAGTGGGATGATGCCTAATAAATGGCCAAAGGCTTAATTAAATATATGTTCCCAAAACATAGAACAAGATTTTACATAATTGTGTACCAAACCCAGCTCAGGGCAACTGATAAAGTGCTGGCAAATGCTTTTGTATTATATTGCCCCCCTGTACATAAAACCCCAAGGCAAGGCCCTCTGCATCCAAGACAAGGATGGGGAAGGGACCATCATCTCCAGGATCCAGAAAGAGGATGGACTGCTTATTCCTGTCCAACAAAGTCCCAATCCCTTTGTGACCCCACCCCCAGACCAGAAGAATATAAAGTTTTTATTATATTCAGAGAATATGTGGGGTTTAAAACTTGTTCTTAATCAACTGTTATTCTTTTTACCATGAAAAAAATAACTTTTGCTCAGTTATGTCTTAGCTTCAAAAAACAATCACGACAGAAACTTGGTTTGGAATGTAGCAAATTACTGAAGCTTGCCCAAAGGTCTGTTTCCTTTCAGTTCTGAGCCTGGTTCACCTCTGGCCCAGAGCTCCCTGGAAACAGAACACACTCAGAAATAGATGATAGGGGCACCTGGGTGGCTCAGTCAGTTGAGTGTCTGACTTCGGCTCAGGTCATGATCTTGCAGTTCACAGGTTCGAGCCCTGTGTTGGGCTCTGTGCTGACAGCCCAGAGCCTGGAGCCTGCTTCAGATTCTGTGTTTCCCTCTCTTTCTGCCCCTCCCCCACCCACAGTCTGTCTGTCTGTCTCTCTACCTCTCCCTCTCTCTCTCTCAAAAATAAAATAAACATTAAAAAGTTTAAATAAAGAATTTAGAGTGAGTGCTCAATAAATTTAGTCATCATTATCATAAGAAAAAGAAATAGCTGATAAGGGGAGGCTGGAAGGAGCCAACAAGTGAGGAATGCCAAATATCTAGTGATTGGCTTGGGGTTCAGTGCTCACTCCTGCCCAGGTAGGATGAGGCACAGAACTCAGGGCTGGGCCCCCTTATTCCACATGAAAGACTTTCCTCACATGTCTAAGGCCTCACCAAGTTCTCTGACCTACCATATCTCTTGCCTCCAGGCTTAGAGTCAAGAAGGGGATAGGACCACAGACAGGTAAATGGAGGCACAGTGCAGCAATGTGACACAATTATGGCTACACAGCAAACCTGTTCCCGCTGGAGGCCTCCGAGTCCACCCCCTGCCTCTCGCTCAGCTCCAGCACACTCACCCTATACTTATGGAGGTTGTGTCTCTCCACACAGGTCCCCTTGAGGCAGAACTTGCCCTCGCCACAGCTGGTGCCATCTGCCCAGGGGAAGTGGCGGGTCTGGCACACCATCTGCCCCTTCGCCTTGCCAGTGCACCACAGTTTGGTGCAGTACTGCATGTAGGGACAGGGCTTCGAGCCCACACCAAAGGCAAGCTCACACTGCTGGCTCAGGCTGTAGCTGGCACCCGGTAGGTCCTCAGGCAGGGAGATGGGCTTGCTGGGTTGATCCAGGAGGCAGTCACCTACAGGGAGCCAAGGACATTCATCAAAGATGAGTTGAGAAAGGTGAGCTCAGCTAGCCGTGAGTCTGAATGATAGGGAAACACTGAAGCAAGAGCCAGTGGAATGGACTCCCTTGAGAACCCAACTCTTTGGGCTCATGCACACCTTAGGTAACAGAGGACAGGTGCAGAGAGGTAATGAGCAGTCACTCCAGTGACAACCCCGAAGTCCCTCCTCTGTCACCCTGGCTTACCATGCCCACTGTCCAGGAAGTCGGTGACGATGGCAGCACTGCAGGCTGACCAGGGGTTGGCACGGTCAATCTGGATGAGTGTTGGGGACATCATGTGGTTGGCTCGGAGTTTCCCAAACACCTCCTCACACACTTTCACATTGTCATGGGGCATGTTGAACACGTGGCCTGTGGGGTGAGGCAAGAGGACTCAGAGGGCAGAAGGATGTGGGCTATGCAGTTTTAAAGCAGCAGGGCGGAGGGGAGGGGAGGGCGGTTCAGCTGAGGAAGCTAGAGAGCCCATGTCAGCAATTTTCAGGCTGGTCATTTCTACCTAGTGATAGACTGACTACTTTGCAAATGTTAAGATAGTGTTCTTGTGTTCTCTGTCCTGTCCATCAGGCTGTGGGCTCAATGAGAGCAGCAGTGTTATCTAATATATTCTCCCCTTCATGCTTAATTGATGAGATACTCTGACTGCTGAGTCAGACAATATTGCTGGCCTACTGGGCTGGGGCAATCAGAAAAAATAAAACCAAGCGATTGCTAAGGCAGACTCTGACCCTAAGAAAGGATCCCTAAAGCTTCAGGACATGAGGAAGCAAAGACAGATGTCTACCCCCTGACCAAAGCACCCAGGGCAAACCCAAAAGGACCCCAGAGGGGAGCTCTCCTCCCCGTACCCAAGAGTACCCTCCAACCTTACCCAGCTCATGGGCAGTGGTGAAGGCTGATGGAAGCCCATCATCCTCGATCACAGAACAACTTCTCTTGGGGTCGCACATAGTGCCCACATCAGCCATGCCCAGCGTGTCACAGGTGGTGGCCCCACACAGGTCCTGCCAGGGTGGGGGAGAAGCAAGAAGCCAGGCAGAAATTAGGATGGGGTACAGAAGGAGCCTGGAGGAAAGAAAGGTATCCTATGGGATGCTCAGCTCATCCCAACTCCCAGTCTAATGAAGTCCAGCACCTTCCTAGATAGGTCCTTTCTCTCAGAGGGTTGCAGGGCTACACATAGAATCAACCCAGACTGAGGGAGGAAGCATCAGGAAGAAAGCCCTATGGCTCACTGAGAAGATTGTGCCCAAATCCTACTCATAGAGATCCTGTGGGAGGAAATTAGGAGGTACAAAATTAAACTACAAGGTCATTGCTTTATATAGAGACAGACTTCCGAACCAGAAAATGGCGACTCCTACAGCTGGGTGAGGTTCCATTCATGGATAACTGAGGCAGGTGGGAGTGGAAGGCAAGTGTGTTCCTCATCCAGAGTCAGCTCTGAGCAGTCTCAGTCCTTGCGGAGTGACTGGACAACCGTGAATTAAGCTCAGATTCTCAGCCAAAGTGTCATGGGCCAAGGACCCGCCCAAGCCAGAGATTTGGCTTCCTTGAATTGGGAGGAGGCAGAATGAGGCAGATACAGTCTCCTATCCAGACATAGCTCAACTGGCTACAGAAGTTCAAAGGGACCACTGGCTCAGCGACTGCTAGGAACAAAAAATAAATGAACTGCCACCGAAGACAGTCCCTCTTTTTTGTACTGAAACCTGCATCAGAAACTAGGACTTCCTGCAACAACCCTGATGGGAAGCACTTCTGGGGATGGATATCTTAATAAACTTATTGAGCCATCAATGCACCTACATATCTTAAGAGCCCAGGAGTTGGAAACAGGACAAGATACTTAATCACAATAGAGAAGACACTGTTGAATCAGTGATACCGGTATTCTTTCCATTACATCCTTGTCTTCATTCACAGTTTACAAGAAACTATTACATGTAGCATCTCATTTTAATCCCCCAGAGAGTGTTAGGAGGCAGATACATCATTATACCTATTTGTCAAAGGTGAAAACTGAGGCCCATGCTCACAGTTAATCATGGAGATGATTTATTAAATGCTGACATCATGTGTGTACTTAACGTGCATGACCTTACTTAATCCTCACAACATCCCACTGGAAGAATGACTGCTATTATCACCTTCCACAGACGAGGAAGCTGACGCTCAGAGAGGCCCAGGTCACAGAGCAGAGATGTGCTGTACGACTGGTTACCAGCATTCTTTGCACCATGTCACAGCTGACTGGTCAGCAGCTCCTAAGTGAATTCCCAGGAGAAAGAGTGGTGTGTGTTCTCTGTGGTAGCCAAGGCATTCACATAAACACACCCAGAGCTGTTCTCAATCTTATTTCTCTTTAGGGCTCTATGCACGTGCATGTGCATGCACATGCTGATGGTGGGGAACAGCTGGGCAGCAGAGTTAGTGGGGTCAGGAGGCATAGGAGGAAAAGTGGTCATAGTACAGAAAATCAGCAAAATTTAATCCAGAGCCTTCCAAAGTTTACCACCTGAGCAGTCAAACTTGGCTTCCCATGGTCAGGTGATAGTCACACCTCCTAATGAGCGTTAACTCTGGCCAAAGAACTGGGAGGGTAATCAGACTCCAGAATACACAGGTCAACCATGAGCGGTGGACGCCTGGCCTTGATCTGCTGTCCTGGGCTCACATGTGGCATGTCTGCCATTTCTTGGAACCCTTCAGGGTGAACCTCAAACTCCCTCTCTTCCAAGTACTCTTCCCTTTCCAAAGGCTCACTTTTCCAGAAAGTTCTCCTTCCTTCAGAGTTCTGAGACCTAGAAGAGAACTGCTATCAAAACCTGGGAGGGGAAGTTCACCTGACAAGCAGTTTAAGGAACACAACTGCTGAGGAACAGGGCGGGGTCACACGGATCAGCTTGAGAACGGAGGGAGAAGAAGGCAGGGGACAAAGAAGGAAAGAACAGAGGTTTGCACAGAGGCATGGAAGGGGGAGGGGGCTGGGCCCATTCATCCCTAGACACTATAGTACAGCCTCCCCACTAAGGCAGGGGTCTCTGAAAATTCTCGTCTAGTGGTCACAGCCCATAGGGAGAGCCTGTAGGACAAACATGACACCATCCTGGGGCCACCATGCACGCTCACTGCGGGCTTTGTGTAAGAGAAAAGGCATGGGAACAAGAATGGAAAAGCCTAGACTCTGGCCCTGGCCCCACCACTAAGTAGATGTGTGTTTTGGGGCAGGTCACTTCTCTCCTCAGGCCTCAGTCTCCTCTGCTCCTTCCCTGATCCCAGGGTGCTCAGCCCCTTCTGGCCCTGTAGGTTATGAAAGGAACACACACAATGATAAACTTCTAGAATGGAAAGAACCCTAAGGATGATCTTGTCTACTAATCCATGAAAGGAACTCCCAGAAAAGTGAAGGTCACCCATGTGGACATTCAGAATCCCATCTGCTGCTCTGCTCAGCAGAAATGGTGAGACCAGACTGACAGCTCAGACTGGGGTCTAAGCAGCCACTGGAGCTCCACTGCCCAGCAGCCCGCCTCTGCCGCTGGAAGGTCCTTAAAGCCAAAAAAAAGGCCTCCATTCTTCTCCGGGAGGGTGGATTCTCTCTGGAGCATAGACATGCAGCTGCAGACCCTTCCTGGCCAGGAGCAACCTGTTCTTTCCATCAAGAAATCCCGGTTTCCCTGGATCAAACAAGAGGAACAAGGAAGGAGCCGGCAGATTTCCTGAGGGTCAGGGTGTAGCTGAGAGCAGCAGGCTTGCAGTAACCAGTGTCTTCATTGTGGGAAGATGCAGCTGTTTGGGGTCAGGGGCTCTGCCTGGCCCTCTTCCCCCAGCCAGGGACTCAAATGAAGAATTGCTGGATCTTAGTTCTTTGAACGCCTACAGGCGGGTGTGCAGGGCTCAGTAGTGCCTCATTTGTGGCACTGAATGTCTCCACCCTTCTGGAATGAACTCAGATGCACTCAAATTGCCTTAACCTCTTCAGCTCAGGCCCTTGTCTCCAGAAATAGAAACTGTTCTGGTTCCTTCTGCCTGGAGGGTGGAGGCACTTCCCACCCAGCCCCTACCTGCCTCACTATTTCTGGTAATTTGCCATTTCTCCTTGAAGCTACAGCTGCTGTTCCAGATGACCCAAGAATCATCTTGGCCAAGACCCTGGTCTTCCCAGGTTATTGTTTTCTCACTGTACCTTTTCATAAAATAATTTAGGATTGGAGAGCCATGACTTGAAAGCAAGCACCTTGCAGTGGCCCAATCCACTGCCCAATCCACATTTACCATGCCCACTCCCTCCACGCCTCACCACAACTCCTCATGGCCTTCCTTCCCACCTCCTCTCATTTCCCCAGCCACATACTGAGATGCTCATATTTTCCAGCAGTACGGGGTGGAGGACCCACAAAAATCAAGCACATTAACTTTTTTTTTAATGCAGCAGAAGATATGTGTTCTCATGCAGCCAACTTCCTACTCATTATGAACTTGTAAGCATGTGGGCCAGTGCTTATATTCATGGCCACACCGCAGCTTCCAAGTATTGTACTCACACAACTTGGGAGTCAACCTCTCACTCTGTAGATGAGGAAACTGAAGCTCCATGAACTCACCCAAAGCCATACAGCTATTAACTAAAGAATGAGCTACTGAACCCTTTTGACACCAAGGCCAGCAGGGGTCTTTGGTCTGAACCACAGCACTCTAGTTAGGATAGCATAAGTACTGTTGAAAAACACCCAGTGCTTGGATTAATATTGTGCCTTTAACTTGTTTCCCATCTGAATCTCTGGCGTGCATCTCTGTATTTCCTCATCCAACCCCAAATCTACCTCTGTTTGTAATCCCTAAGCATGGGAGGGCCTTGCTTTGCTAGAAGAAGGGGAAAAAATAGCAATTCTGGGTGTCTGGGCAATGGGACTAGGGATGCCTGGTGAAGAAGAGAACCCACTCTAGAAACATCTATCAGCAGAGTGGGTTTCGCTAGAATATTAATTCCTCAAGATGTACAAAATGGTGTTACAGTGGGAGACCAAGGTAACTAAGACAAGAATAAGAGAAATCCAAAGCATGCAGGAAGACCAAGCTTTTTCTGGAAATCATCAGTTCAAGAGAGGATACATATCGAATACAATGTTAATAGCTGACACTGAGCTGCTACCAGGTGCCAGACACTGTTCTAAGAGCTTTCCTGTATTAGTTCTTAAATCTGTACAATAGCTTTATGAGGGAGATGCCATTGTCAGGCCCCATTTTACATATGAGGCTCAGAGAAGGTAAGTTACTAGCCCAGGATCAGTGAGCCCAAGGTCAGACAGGAAGGGAGGGGCAGAGTGAACACTGAAATCCAGAAGTGCCGCCTGAGAGCTGAATGCTTCCCTCACATCAGTACTGCTTCCAGAGATGAAGGGGCTGGGGAATCTCAAGATGGCAAGACTTTCCAGCCCATACCCTCAGCCCCCAAAGCACAGGTTGGCCACTGAAGAGGGAGAGGCCTGGGGAGAGGGGAATGACAGGATTGACTGCCAAGAGTGCTATTAGAGCAGCGCCTGCACCCCTTTCCTGGTTGAGCAAGCTCCTGGCTCCTTGCCCCACACCTGCACTGACACACTGACCCCGTCCCTCCTGTGCACCCTGTCTGCTGGCTCCCTGCTGGGGCCTCTCCTTTCTCCAGGGCAAAAGCTGATGGCAAAGAGCCAACACGAAATGCCAGAAGAACCTGACCCCTCCCAACCCTGCAGCCTGACAGCTGAAAATGCTGAGTTAATGATCCCCAGGAAGGGAGGTGAGCTACCTAAGCACCCAGAGCTACACACACTCCTTTCACTAGTATCAGTGTCTTCCTCCCATGAATACATACTGAACAACGGCAGCATGCACGGCCCACTGGAGAGGCTACAAAGACACAAAAGTCTTTTTTTTTTTTTTAGATTCATTTATTTATTTTTTAGATTCATTTATTTTTTAAAATAATTCTCCATCCCTTCCCCTGGGGTCCGTTAAGTTTCTC